ACGCAATCTGTGCTCTGCCTACCGTAGGCATCGAAACCCGTTTTCTAATGTTATAAGCCCACTGACTTACCGCCGAGCCATGGAGCTGAATATAACGACTGGATTATTCTGGTCAGGAGAACTACTTAAGTAACAACTGAAAATTGACCCAAAATCTTACGTAATCTCAGTACTAATACTTTCTAATACAAAAAAGAACATAACTGGATTTTGTCTAAGAAATCTTCACGTTTCTTTCCAAAAGTAATAGCAAACAAGAGCGCCTGTTTTATTTTTTGTTTTCTAAATTAGGGAGGGGGGGGCATTATTGTATTCTGGTTAACCTATGAACGTGCTCCAGTGGCGTATCCATCATAGAGCGCAGCGAGCGCGCACACCCCTTCTCCCTCGAAAATCTAGAAAATATATATATATAATGGCTATTTTCTGGCGACTGGGTCTCTCTGTATTACCGATACAGTAAACTCCGGGACGATGATGTGGATCTATATACTGAGACCAGGCGTGATGACCGATTCTATTTTGTTTATATTCGTGATACTAATATCGTACGGTACCCAACTTTATCCACTGTCTATGCAATGAAAAAGGTTTTATGCTAATTTGATTGTATTTATGAAACATTTTGAAACGTAAGTACACCCCCAACCCTCTGTGGAAAATCCTGGATACGCCCCTGTGCTCCTACGATATCCTTGATACGCCCCTGTGTTCTTACGATATCATTTTTAGAAAACTATATTAAGCTATATTAGTTTTTCACGATTGTCCATGTATATGCATGCAGATATTAGAATATCTAAATTTTTCCTCTGCACCTCTGTTTTCCATTTTTTTCCCTTTCCGTTACTGAAAGTTCATCATCATCGTCTTTCACAATTAAGTAAATGAGTGTTTTCATTGATGTAAAATTATAATTTTCGTGATTTTTACTAATTTCGAGAAATATCTTAATGTAGCGATTCCTGTTTGAAAAAGTAGTTATAAACAGTAGTAAAAAAAAAGAAGATAGAAAGAGTTAAGCGTGGCAGTGGGAGAGCACTATGTATATAAGCCAATTCGTACAATAACAAGCCGAAGAAAAATTAATATAATTTTGTTTGTTGTATCCCAGCTTACCTGAAGAGCTCTGGATTGAGCGAAACGCGTCGTCAGCAACGGATATGATAAATATAGTGTGTTTGGAATGCTATTATTATAATACTATCTTCTGATTTTTGAAAATCCCCAAGGAACTGGAAAAAGAATGTAGTGTTTACAAATATATTAGGCCTAATAACGAAAAAGGTCTTATGACAAGTAAAATTGTAATCATTTTTCGCCGGCTTCTTAAAGTCGTACACACCATATCAAATGTTTACTAACTGATTGGATATATAGCAAATCATTGTTAGAGGTATTTATATTAAAAAAGCAGGCAAGTTAAAAAAACTCAGTGAAAGACATAAATACCAAATCCTATAATTGGAACGTTTTCAAAAGGTGGAGCTTTCTTCATCAAAAACAATCTACACAATCACACATAAAGACAAAGGGTTGATTTAAAATGTTGTTATTATAATTATTATAGTCTTGTCAGAGATAATCCTGTATATTGCGCTGTAACCTTCTCATTCCAGCCTTGTGTAGTTCTGAATGAATATCCGAAACAAAAACCATAGCGAAGTGGACGATTTCTTTAGTTTCAGTAGGCATCCCACGATCATATTTTCATTAATTTACTCATGGTTAACACATAGTATTTCAATGTAATGATATGTGGTTTTAACATTCATCTTCTCATTATACATTCATTTCGAAATCGATAATTCATATCAGAATAAAACGTTAAGCCTTTTCCCCACCTGTCTAAACAAATGATCGAGACTGTGACCAATTATTTGAACTGTGGGTACAAGTAAGTGTGATATTATAAGGCTTCTCGCATCCTATTTTACAGGCATACTTTATATGATAAAATACAATATCTAGCATACCGTTAAAATTGCCAAGAAACTTTTTTTTTTATCATATTGACGATGCTGATGGCATCCTACCCAAGTTACCAATAGTTGGCAAAAAGAAAAAATATATATCAGACTGAAGAATTGCATGGTACCCCACAAGACATTTGTTTGAGGCACACAGCAATAAACAAAATTATGTGTCTCTAGAAAGCTTGGTGTCTTAATTACTAGAAGTGCAATGAGTATTATGTTTGATATAAATACTTGAATACATTAAATTAATCGGCTAAATAAAATTTTAATTTCATACTTCTTTAGTTATTATACAAATAAAGGCTGTAAGCACTTCGGTACTACGTCCCTGTAGCGCAGTGGATAGCGCGTTGGACTTCTAATCCAAAGGTCCCGGGTTCGACCCCCGGCAGGGATGACGAGTAGTTAAACTTTTGATACTACATTTTGATTTCAAGCTTTAACTTAACTGATTTCGAATACAAACACATATTAGCTGCGTTTATTTTGCCAAAAATTTTCTGCTAACGAAACCGCCTTATTATTATTATTTCTTTATCTTCAAGTCATCAAATATTTAATACGTCCACACAAAAGATTTAAACTTTTCCGAGTGGAGCTCGCTTTTGCTATTATACTTCCCAATGGTGTGTATGTTATTGTTTATTTCATATAAATATAGATCAAATGTATCCATCCTGAATGGATAAAGAATTTAATGATATAATTTTGTTTCTTTCAGCGAGAGACGATCTTGTTTACTAAATTGTGTCTGACCGAAGTTAAATAGAGCGTATATAAATATAAATGATATATTCGTTATCAACTTGAACTATGCTAACTGATATTGTAACAGAATTAACGTTTGCATTCAATAAAATATACAAAACAAAAAGGTTTTACAAAGATATGAGCTCAGTAGATGGCGTCAAATCGTATTATCTCAAAGCAGTGATCAAACGAATTGTATGTTCTCTATACATGTTCCTTAAATCTTACATTTTTTGTTTTAATAATGAAAGAAAGGCTGTAGTTAAAACGGAAAACAAAGGTTAGTTAATAATATAATTATGGTATAAAAGTTATAGGTTACATATAGAGCAGTTTCATATACGTAGAATAACTTTGATATTGAGAAAATGGTTGATGATCCTGTCTAAATCGTAACCCTAAATACAACTAGGAAGTAATTTTCATAAGTCAGTGATCTGTGAAAATGGAGAAACGAAAACAAAATATTTATTACTTTCTCATAGGTATTATGAAAAATAAATGTAACTGTAAAGCAAGTCGTTACCTGTCCTCATATTTTCTAGCAGCGAAAATAGAAAAGATAATTTTGAGACAGTTTAAAATATTTATAAAGTATATTTGTCATAATTAGATAAAAAGTGTCAGTGTAATAAAAACTCCCTCCGGTTTTTTTTTTTTTTTGTCACTACACTATTGCACCAATCTGCTACTGTATTGTGCAAGGTAAAGTTCATACGAAACCACGTCTCTGATTCGTCAGTTGGTGTGGTGTGTCAACGCTCTCAGTCAATTATAGCTAAGCTTCCATTTAGGCAATGTCAAACATTTCATCGTGACAGCTAGAATATTGACTGTCGTCTTTATCAAATTCCCACATGTTTCCCTATAAAAGACAGTGTCACAGTTTACTGGAACAGTCTAAGACGTGTTCTTGTCATACAGTTTTTAAACTAGATGTGAACGATTATGATCAGTGCCGTAGCCACGGGGGCGCGAAAGGGCGCAAAGCGCCCTCTAAAAATCTGCCTTAAAAATAAATAATGCCTCTTTTACTTTTTTCGAACTTAAATAATTTTTCGTACTTGAATAATTCCAATGTACTCATGTATAAACATATTAGTTAACCGAAATAATAGTTGCTGTAAATCAATATTTATAAAATAAAATATATTTGTACTTATGCTTTCGGCTTTTGTGTTTTTTTATCGCATCGATGGCTGCAAATCGCTGACGTGGATTATTCAGATTTCAAATAAATTGTTATTGATCGATGCGACGTTAATCGTTCGTTTATTAATAAAATAAGAATTATAACTGAATTGTTGTCAAATATCAAAGATTTTTTCATGAGTGAATTCGCTTATGAATTAATAAAAAACATCAGTAAATGATAAAAAAATTTATAACGAAAACTGAAAATAATTACAATGTACTCGCGCCCTTTGAGTTTGTCATTGCGCCCTCAATGTGTGCGTCCTGGTTACGACACTGATTATGATCAGACATCAACACATGTTGAAATTTTGTGAGAATTATCAGAAATAAATGGTAACTCTTAGAAAGATTAGTTTGTTTGTTTGAAGTCAAGCTGCACAATGGGCTGTCTGCGCTCTGCCCACCACGGGTATCGAAACCTGGTTTCTAACGTTGTAAATCCGTAGACATACAGCTGTGCCACTGAGGAGCAGAAAGATTAGTTTGTTTGTTTGAAGTCAAGCTGCACAATGGGCTGTCTGCGCTCTGCCCACCACGGGTATCGAAACCTGGTTTCTAACGTTGTAAATCCGTAGACATACAGCTGTGCCACTGAGGAGCAGAAAGATTAGGGGTAAACATTACGAGTTTACACCATATGAAAAAAATAAATAAATACAAATTATTTTTCTGACGGAGAACAAACCAATGAACGGAGAGTGCTGATTCCCGGTTCAAGATTTATTGCACTAGGTTGCACAGTAGTTAGATTAGCAATAATTAGTCTTAGTCATGAGTGGCAGCTAGGCAAGTCAAATAAAAGCTGTGTGGCCATATTACCTTAGGTCAACAGTTGAGTATCCTGGCTGTTAGTTGGGAAGCGGTAAGTTTAACGACTTACAACACTAAATTTGGGGGTTCGGTTCCACGAGGTAAACACAGCAGATAGCCCAATGTGGCTTTTCTGTTGACGGTGTTTTCGGACCGTATAAAACGATTACTAAAATATTTTTTACCATCAGGATGTTATCGGTGAATCATATTGATTTGATTTGATTTTTCCCATGTAAGGTAAAAAAAAAGTCTGACAAACAGTGAAAATCGGCACAGAAGGACGAACTTTATATAGTGCCCTTAAGAGCTGTTTTATTGCCAAGTAACAATAATAACAGTGCTACAGACATCATATAGCATGTATATCGAGTATGTGATTAAATTAGTGCATAAAACACTTATCAAGACATCTAGATACACGTAAATCTATTAGAAGAACATTCGCCACAGGTGCACTGCTTGTTATAAGCGCGTGGTTTATATGTATATATATATGCATTTTAAATTTATATTCAAAATTATTCAGATAATTCCAGAGAATAACTGTAGTGTAAACACTATTTACATTAAGAAATAAATGTTTCAATCATCCACAGTAGCTTAAAATTACTATATATTGATAGCACGAAAAATAAGCTACAATAGCACGAAAAATAAGCTACAACAGAATAACTTAGGTTGAAAAATGTAAAGTATTTAATTAAGATCGTTGAATGTGATGTGTTGAGCGTCTTGTTTTTAGCTTAGATTGTAACATTAATTTTAACTATGGCTAAATTTAATCAACAGTCAAATCAAAGAAAAAACTGAGCAGTAAAATTATGCATATTCCTTAATCTATGCTTATTTGACCTTTGTGGTTTGACAACTGTGACATATAATAGGTCAACAATATGGGAAACACGTGCTCAACTGCGGCAACAATGGATAAAAATGACAATAAACTGAATGATTAGAAGGCCGTACAGATATCGTATCATAACAAAAAACTTGCACATATAAGATAAACTGTTTAAAGTTGAGTACGAATGACGTCCTCGAGATAAACGTTGTTTTCATCGTCTAGTATATACCCTCATTCGTTGTGTACGTATAAACATTTGAATTACGAGGTGACTGGTACAGTTATGAATAAAAACGACACAGCGGTAACGCATCGTGGGATTTTTTATTTTTTTTTAGAGCAGTGAGGGGAATGAAACTTAGGTTGATGAGATGTTTGACAAAGTGTTGAATGTTTGGACTGCAAGAAAAACTTCCCTATTTAGATTGGCAGACGACAATGTAAGACGTTAGCAAAGCCTATTTAATGGACTATCATTCTAGCTTAGGGTTAGCAATATAATAGATATATAAAATTTAGTAGCGTCCGTCTATAATTTGTGTGTGTGTCATTATAGACAGGACATACCCAACTTTATTGGGTATCAAGTTTGGACGTCTGAACTTCACGTCGATCAATAATACAAACACTAACCTTTTTTTGTAAAATATATCTGACAAACTAATGCAATTGCAATTTAAAGAGCGATAAATATAGTAACAGAAACTATAAATCTGAAGAAAAGGGGGAAAGTAAACACCATTAAAATGTTATCATACGTTAAACTTTACTACTAATAAAAAAAACCATTAAAAAGTGTCTTGAACAAACGAATCTGAAACAGACTGATATGGTTAAGATTTTCTTGGTTGTAAATTTTTTATTTTTGCATTTTAAGCCTAATAACATGATGAATATTACCAAACAAACCTAAAGTCAGCTTTAAATCCCTGCACGATCTTATTAAAAAGATAATAATTATAATTATTATATTTTGTTCTTGAAAACAATTTTCGAGAACAGGCCTTGTTACCTTTCTCTTAACAATCTATACATTTTAAGTCGTTTGATCGACAGAGGTTATGACGCACCAACCGAATTCTTTAATTTTATTTTTAAGTGCAATTTACTGTAATAGCATTTTTCTTACTACACTTAAATTGTAATTTTTTTAATGTAATTACAAATATTTCTTATAAATCGAATATTGTGTCTTTCATTACATTATTGGTATGACAATTACAATTTTACATTGTTTATTACAGAAAATTATCATTACACTCCTATACAGCGATGTCTTTGATCCAGAAATCTGTCAGTCCTTTACAACGTAATACGAGAAAGTGAGTCATCAAAGGCTCGTATACTATTTGATCACGGAAGACATCAAGAAAAATATATATATTTCCTTAACAAATCAAAGTCACCAAAAGCATAATAAACAAATGCCCACTCCAAGCTCTTTTTTTTCACATCTGAAAGTCGATTGTTGCCAGAACAGATCTAAGTTTACAATACAGTTATAATCAGAAAGTCAACTGTTGGCAGTAACTCATCTAAGTCTATAATACAGTTATAATCAGAAAGTCAACTGTTGGCAGTAACTCATCTAAGTCTATAATACAGTTAAAATCAAGAAGACGACTGTTGGCAGTAACCAGTCTAAGTTTATAATACAGTTATATTCAGACAGTCAACTGTTGGCAGTAACTCATCTAATTTTATAGTACAACTACAATCGAAAAGTCAAATGTTGCCAGTGACCGATCTAAGTTTACAATACAGTTAGAATCAGAAAGACAAATGTTGCCACTAAACGATCTAAGTTTACAATGCAGCTAAATATGTGATGCTTTAGCCTATTGTTTCTGTGTAACACAAAATGTCTTATTTTCTCTAAAATTAATGGTTCTTTATGCACATGAAACTTAAAAAGCGATAAAACATATTTAAAAAAAAATTCACATTTGCATTGTAACATAAATCGTTGTTGTTATGCTTTTACTGCATTATGAGCGAAAGCTTTTATTAACCATACAACTTTTGGAAGCAATCGACGCAGTAAGGCTTATCCTGCTTCTCCTTGAAACTGCTCGTGGTCAGTTGCTTCTTACAGTAGTGGCACACAAAATGTTCTGGGTGATATTTCTGGGATATGGCCGTAACACATTGACCTGAGATAGGCTTCTTACATCCCCCGCACAATGTCCCACGTTTGGCATGATAGTGCTTCTCACAATATGGCTTACCATCCAGATCGAAAAAACTTCCTCCTTCGAAGGACTGACCACAATCCTTTAAAAAGAAAAGAAGGTTTAAAAGATGCGTAAACAGTTTCCGTAAATTATGCTACAGAATTGTTTATCTTTCTTAAATCAAATGTTAAATATTATTTCCTGACAAACCTAATAGAGCTAGGCTAACAGTTTCAATAAAAAATACTTAATATCAGTAGTCGTTTACGAAGAAGGGATGTTTACATCTTAGTTCGAGTCTGAACGTAGCTTTTGTTTAAAAATATAAACCAATACTAAAAAACGCGTGAAAGTGGTTTACAATTACGAGTTAACAAAATTAAGACACTGAATATCAAAGCAGAATGTCGTCTGCTATTGATACAAGATAGTTTTATTAGTTAAAATGTATTCCATTTTCCTCAATATGGCCTAGTTTCTAATACAAATATAACAACCTTTTTATTATATTACTATAAATTTTGGTTGTCACTTTTGTACGATAGGGGCATATACATTTTGTAATTCTCCCTTTTCTCGACTACCAAAAGGTGGTGGGTATCGGCTTCTTTTTACTTCGCGCTTCTTAAAGGTAAATATCGAAATTCCCTCTTTCAGTATTCAGTCGCTGTTCAATTTTTGTTGCTTCAGGGGTATTTTAGGTAGTGTAGACGTGTAAGAGTTTTTATTTTTAATTAGTTCATCTTGGCTCGTTTTATTCTCTCGTTTATTAGGCTTCACATAACAGTCTCTTTCGTTAGGCTTTTTCACATATCATTCTTGTTACCGTTAGATAGGCTTAATTCACTGATCACTCGTTCGTTAGGCGTAATTCAAAGATCACTCTAGTTCGTTAGGCTTAATTCACATATCAGGCTTAGAGAACTAATACAGTAATTCTACTATTTATGTGATACTTGTATGATTACTAGGTTTTGTCAATAGGTATTTTACTCTCTAGGCTACCGTTATATAATAGCACTGTAAATAACAATTTTCCCGATAACCACGAGCACCTTTCTTACCCTGCAAACGAAGCACTGGGCGTGCCACTGGCCTTTCAGTGCAGAGATGTATTTTTCGTTGATCGGCTTGTTACAGCCGCCACATTTAAGTGAAAAAATTTCAGCGAAGTCCTTCCGACAGTACGGTTTCCCGTCCTTCTCGAGAAATCCGTCCTCTCCAAATTGCCGGCCACAGTGGGTGCAGTTAAAGTGCTCCTGATGCCAAGTTTTATTCAGGGCTTTTACACATTTCTGTGGGGATAAATAAAGTTTTTAATATTAACACGACAAGTTTTTAATCAGCCATTTATCTGATTAACTGTAAAGGTTTCCTTTATGTACATACATCACCATAAACCTACTTTCATTTTTAGACGCCAGACTAGTATACAATTAAAAATTCGATAGCCAAACTTCATAAATGAACTCACTTTTGTCGTCAATAACAATTTCCTATTAATCTTTACTTAGGTTTAACAATCCTCAGAAGAAAAAATTATAAACCTGTGATAGATGATGTATAAGGTTATATGAATATGATTTGTTTGTTTCTTTATAATTTTAGTGCAAAGCTACACAAAGATTATCTGTCCAAAGCCTTCCTTAATTCTGAAGTGATATACCCGTTACCATCTGTTGTCTGATCGAATAGTGGGATTTGACTGTCACTCTTATAGCGCACTCATAGCCCACAAAGCGTGGAATTCGATCTTGCAGCAACTGACCACAAACCAAGAACCCTCGTATTTACAGTCCGAGTACGTTAACCATTAGGTTACGCCCAGCTCAATATTTGCTTGATTATAAACAAGATTACGACACTTATGATATACAACATAAGTGTCGTAATCTTGTTTATAATCAAACTTCGTTTTCCTTCGAACACATCGATTGCTAATATTTGCTTGAGTATTACAAAAGGCAAAAATTTGCGCTTTGAGAGTGATTGTTGATACATACATATATATCTGTCTTGAATATAAAATTTATGACGACCTTTTGTATGTTACCATGAGTTAAGTTCATATCAAGGTATATTTAACGTAGTTGATAGATGATCTAATACATAAAAAAAAACAACAACTAGATAAATAAAATATATTCTCGAACATATCTACGTCGGTAATGTTCAAAAGACATTTAAAAATAATAGTGGATTCAGTAATAAGCAGTATGCGAGTTGTTAGTACATGTGCGTGGGCTCGTGTTGAATCCCCGTAAGCCACTAACGGCTAAAATATTCGCCCCGAGTCTAAAATTACATTCACAGCCAAGAGTGTATTCCCTTTTTGGAATTCATAAACAGATAATCTGTCAAAGATACTTAAATTCGGCAACGACTTTCTTGTGCCAGGAGTTTATCTGAAAGCTTTCCAGTTTTTGTTGTTGTTGTTTTGTTTTTTTCCTTGTATTTTTCATCTTGGTGAAAGAAAACAGTTACCAATTCCCAAGTGAAATCGCTACGAAATATATGCACACAACCAAAATCTGATAAGAGAGGCCTAATGGGATGAGACGTAGATTTGCTTATCGGGTTAGAACAAAATAAAAACTTGCGTCAAAATATGACTAATTGGTGAGTTAAAATAAATATACTGAAGTTGTATAAATATGAAATCATGTAGATCTACCACACCGATTACTCTGTTGTCAAAACCAAGATTTTGCGACTTTACCCTAAGGCCCAGTAACCTGGAATGTGTATATTCGATATTAGTTTTCACTTCTTAAGAAAATTGGACAATTTTACACGACAGTGCGGAACTACCGTCCTACGTTTACAAGTTTTCTTTATCGGATGATTTGTGTAAAGTTGTTAGGGGCATTAGCTTAGAAGCTGTTGAAGAAGGTAGCGAATACAAGCTATTTAAAACCACCACATCATCAGAACCTTATCGGTTATATTAAATTTACTAGGTGGACGAAACAGACGTAATGCTAATTCGTCGGATAGGCGATTTCAGCGAATTGCATCTTTCGGTATTTCTATTTTCTTTAAACTAGTAAACCTTTTTTCACTACTTCTTTTACTTTGTTGAGTCTGAAAACAGAGCTGCGTTGGGGCAACGCTAATATAAGTTCTCCCGAGTGTTTATCACTTATGTGTATATGTATATATTTGAGAAGAGAGTGTGCCAAATTTAGCTGTTTTACGACCGGTTTACAAATTGGAAATATTAAGATTCACTGACTGTTTACCGTATACAAATCAATAGCTTAAATAAACTATTCTAGAGGGATTCAGAAAAAGTAGTCCCGGTAATAATGCAGCATTTTATGTACAAGGTCGCTATGTACAGCAGTTTATGTAAGATGCTGCTATGCGCAGCAATTTTAGTGAGAGGTCGCTAGGTACAATAGTTTTAGTGAAAGGTCGCTAGGTGCAACAGTTTTAGTGAGAGGTCGCTAGGTGCAACAGTTTTAGTGAGAGGTCGCTAGCTACAACAGTTTTAGTGAAAGGTCGCTAGGTACAACAGTTTTAGTGAGAGGTCGCTAGGTGCAACAGTTTTAGTGAGAGGTCGCTAGGTGCAACAGTTTTAGTGAGAGGTCGCTAGGTGCAACAGTTTTAGTGAGAGGTCGCTAGGTG